TATTAAATGGACAACTCTCTCAGGCATTGCTCAGAATCAAGAGGGTCCTGTGTCCCTTGGTCCCCATGCTCAGAAGTTACCACGGTCCTGACTATCATCGCCCTTCACTGCAAAAGCCTACGAATCCTGGACCTGTGGTCCCTGGGCAAGCCTGGCAACCCCAGTTCTCTCTCCACTCCTTTCTCTTCTCTCTCCTGAGCTCAGGCCGCCATCCCCTGGCTCTGGAGTTATTACAGCCGCCTCCCAGCGGGCTTTCTTTTGTCTCCTCCTGTTCCCTCCTGTCCCCTCCTGTGCTCTCATGCAATGTGGCCAGCACACTGCAGCCACAGTGAGCTTTCAAAATGCAAATCTGATCACAACCCTCTTCCTTTTTCCCATTCTGTGAGGATAAAGGTGGGACACGGCCATATGAGTTGGTCCCTGCCTGGCTCCCCAGCTCCCTCTCATCTACTCTTCCGCACTGTGAGGGAGAACCCACTGCCTTTCAGTTCTCTGGATGTACCTTGCCCCTTCTCGCCTCAGCATTTTTACACCTGCCTTTATGACTGCCCCGAACACCCCACACACATGCACATCTGTGTGTGTGCACTGTGTGTGTGCACACCCCCTACACACATGCACGTACATGCACCCTCACACACTCTCTCTCTGTCTCTCCCTAACTCCGAAGTATCACCAGAGTCATTGACTCCCCAAGTATATACTATATAACTATTTGTTCAGTGTCTTCATCTCTAGACAGTACATCCCACCAGGGTAGGGACTATGCATTTCTGCCACCTTAACCCCAGTACCCGGCACAGGGCCTGGCCCAATAATTATTTTAAATTAATAATTAGTAGGCCAGCAACTATCAGCCTCTTAGAGTTCACAACCCACCAACTTCTGTTTTATCCCTGTAAGAAGTAGGTGGACATGAAGGTGCCTTTTATTCTTATTTTTAAAAATGTTTTTAGCTGGCCGCATAGTATTACAGGTTGGTGTCTTTCTAGTTTCTAGGCTGGGCACCACTTGGTCACATCATGCAGTTTCCTATCCTCTTTGCCAGCCAGGAATGGGATGTGTGTTGAGATTATTGTTGTTCCCTGATTCACCACAGCGGGCAAGGGGGGGGGGCATGAAGGAGATAGAACTCTCAGGAACCCACAGAATGCCCGTGTTGCTTCTCCAGTCTGCACACACTTGGCCCAGCACCCAGCCTCTTCTTCCATTGAAACCCAGCCCTCAGTGCTGCTACCTAACTCTGACCCGCCCTTGCCCGGAGCCTCCGCTCAGGGTTTTGTTCTTTTTTGTGTCTCCTCTCATGAGTAAACACTCAAGGGTCAACTGGCTGAGGGGAGGCAAAAAAAAAAACAACACTCCTTTTAATGATACGCTCTAAGAAACAACTCAAACTGGTGTCCCTCCCCGGACTCTGAAGAGACAGGATCTTATGGATTACCTATCAATTTACCCTTCCTGTTAGCCTGTCCAAAGTGCATGTTGAGGACATGGCAAAGCCTGCAGGCAGAATTTCAGAGCAATTAACTACAAATCCAAGAGGCTTCCCCTCTCAGGTGTCAGCCAAACCACAAGCGGATTCCCTTCACTTGTTATAATCTAGCTAAGACAGTTAACTATTGTAACTGTGGCACAACTAAACCCCCTGTAATTAAGGAAGATGCTGATGAGGAGAAAAGGCCTCTGGTTCTAGAAGCTCAGCCCCAAAGTTGAGCAAAAGAGCAATGTATATATTCACCACTAGATGGCAGGCTTCCTGCTTTCTTCCCTAAATCAGCTCAATTTTAAATTGACAAACGATTCCAAACCAGCAGCACTTCAACAATCCAATCCTCCAAAGTACCCAAACACACTCAGACTCATAAGAATGATAGGGGTGGACAAACATTTGGTTACATTGGGTTTTTTTTTTTCAGCTAAACTTCCCATTTCCAGAAGAAGAAAAGCGAGAGCCCAAGAGGTCACTAGACCCCCGAGTTTACAATTCTTCCAGGCCAGCTTGCTTTTCTATTATTCTACCCTGCCTCTTGATAAAAGCCATCCAAAAATCATCCTAAGAAGAGCTACAATGCAGGTGTGGTCAGTTTCTTTAGAGCAGTGTTATGTGCACTTTTCTGTGTATATGTCATACTGACAGAGAGCAAAGAAGCCTTCCACAGAGTGGGATATTTTACTATTTTGTGTCTTACAAATATTTGTGAACTTCACTAGTCCTTGACTAGTGAGGAACTTGAAGTCTGGGATCCCTTATGCAGCTCTGTGTTCCCACAAGCCTTATACAACACCTGTCAACAGGACAGGTGGCATCAGAGGTGGTTGGAGTAAATTAGAGTGGAGTCCCTGAAACCAGCTGGGTGACTTTATCTAAGGGACTAGCTTCTCAGGATCTTGACTTCAAAAAAGAGGATGTTAAATTTATACTCATCTAAATCTCTAAGTGAAAAAAATATGAGAAATGCTTAGTAGAGTGCCAAGAAGTTTGCAGGCAAATGGTTCTCAAAGTGTGGTCCAAGGACCCCTAAGGGTTCCCCTTCCCTTTTCTAAGCACATGTCTGTGTGAGGGCAGGTTTTCTTTAGAAACTTCAGTCAAAGAATGAATCACAGGAGCACCTGGGTGGTTCAGTCAGTTAAGCATCTGACTCTTGATCTCAGCTCAGGTCTTGATCTTAGAGTCATGAGTTCAAGCCACATATTGAGCTCCATGCTGGGTGTGGAGCCTACTTAAAAAAAAAAAAAAAAAAAAA